TAACTGATTGATCGGAAATGCCATAACTGTGGTGTTTGTAAAGTTAGGAAGTTTATACTTTCTATGGGTTTTATTTTTGGCCAATTATTTCGACCTACCAAATTTCATATGGATTTAAAGTTAGGAAGTTGGGTTGTTTTTTCATGATCTTCATAACTTCGGTTCCGTTTTGTGGTTTTAACTCTTGGTGAATTGTGTTTTCGTCGACGCACTTCAAGACTTTGCAGTATATCACTCCCTTACAAAAGTTTAATGTTTTGTGTTTAGTTACTGCTACTTCCATTTCTACAATTTTCTGTTAGTTCTAGGAGTTTCTTGTTTTTATTAGTAGGTTGCCGTCTTTTTACTTTTTGCATGTCTCAGCTTCCCCTATATTTTATATAAATGTCTCGTGGTTCGGTCATGATCGCTGGTAAAGGGCTTGATCCCGGGTTAGGTGTTATTAGTGTGTTTTTTTGTTGTTGTGTTTTTATTTATATCTATTTTGATATTGTATTTTTTGTGCCACATTTTGCTGATAAGGTTTTTGGGCTTGCGCAAAGCGAGGCTTTACAACAGTATATCACGAGTTACCTTTTCGGAGGTTGAAGTGGTACTGCAAACAAATCATTCATAGTGACCATTTAGTATCTTGTTTTACATATGAACATGTTAGCGTATTGTAATTAAAATAAATCTTTTGTAATGGCGATTTTATGTACACGAAGGTCAAGTCCTAAAGTCTTACTGGTCGAACAAACCTATTCGTAATGTAAAGTAATGTAAATTCTCGTCACAGTTGAAAATGTTCTTGAACTAGCATCAGGGACATATGTACATATCCGTTGGCTATTACAATCAAAATATACGTTTTTTTTTGTATTTGGATAATTTTGTTCCTTAGACTATTAAGCCTGACTTGTGTTTTTAAGATTTCGAAATACATTTTTATATTAAAAAATTGTGTTATTTAACGTAATATCGCCGCATTGAGAAAGTATGACCAAACTTGTAATACAATACCCATATGTACATACATAGGTATAATAAAAAAAAAAAAATCTGTTTCAGAAAAATTGAAAATTAGTTTATTGCACTACTGTAACAAAATATTAATGTTATTTTGGAATAGTAAAATAACTACATAGTTTATATTATCTGTACCTTTATGTATGTATAATACTCCACTTAAATTTATGTTCTTTTTCCCGTTACTCGTAGAGTAATGTATTGTATTCGTTGAAAAGTAGAAGAAAGCGTTTCCGGCACTATACAGTATATAAATTAATTATTTCCTTATTCAGGTTTTTACTTAAGACGCGCGGTACTGCGCGAATGAGAAGACTTAGGTTTCGGGAGGTGATGACCGTCACGATTTATTTCCAAAATTCAACTAAATACTAAGTACATAAATTCTTATAATGAAAGCTAGCCCTATGCCCTGAAAGTGCTGACCCGGCGCCCCGTGTGTGGTGTTGGGTAGCCGTCGGTTGCGTCGCAGTGCATTGCCCGCTGATAGCGCTGACCGAAGCTTGGGCTTCTGCTACCGTCGTTGTGCAATATCCGCAGGTGTCGCTGGCTTTGCATTATTCTCATGCCGGCTACGCGTGATCAGTTTGGCAACTTCTCTGTTGCCGGGTGACCGTGTTAACTTATATATTCAAGATTAGGATCCATATCTATCCATAATCAATCCCTATTTAAGATACTTAAGAGATCGAGAAAACTGCTAGCGGAGGCTTTTAGCTTATGGTGTTGGCACAGTTTGGCCACCAAAATTTACAGGTTTATCCCTAAAGATTATAAAATGAAATACCGATTTTTAAGGGGATACGGCCACAGCCCAAACCTTAAGAGCAAGAGCAGCCAAATTTTTTCACAGTATTCCATTGGGGGCGTGGGCGCCCACTTAGATCCTATATGTCCCCCCAGTGGCCCCAAACAGCTCCAACATCCATTATTCTGAGCAAAAAAAAGTTTATGTATTTAAGCTTAACTTCTAAAGTGGTTGGAATTTCGATATTTGGTTTTTTCCAAATTTTAGGTTTTGAAAAGGCCTAATTAGAAATCTAAAAGAAATTTCGATATCCCCCATAATTTGGGGGCTACATTTAAAATTAATTTTTCGATTTAAAAAATCCGATCAAGATGATTTTTCGCCCAATAGTTATTCTATGGCCCAAATGCTTAAGTTTAATTTTTCAAGTTTTTAACATTTTTTTAAGTATTTTTAACGAATTTATTTAGATTTTCTAAGTTATTGCGTTGCATTTTGCGTGAGCCTGTCGAGAGAGCGAAACCCAGAGAGCGGATGCCAAGAGAGCGACGGTCGAGAGAGCAACAGCCAAGAAAACTGATGATGGGGAGGGGAAGGGGAGGGGAAAGAGGCAATTTAAGTTAAATTTGTTTAGGATTTTAAAAACTTAAACTGCTGCTCCGATCAATATGATTTTCGATCAATAGTCAGTCCTGTGGATCAAATGCTTAGGTTTTATTTTTTCATTTTTTAGCAGAAGTAAGAGCCTTATTTAATTTCCACCATGGAAGAAAATAGAAAATTACTACAAATTCTGTAAGCAAAGCCAAAATGTTTCCAAGTTAAATATTAATCTTAAGATTCGAACTTTTGACCAAATACGTATATACATATGTATATTTGGATATGTTTTGATTTGCTTATATGTACAATACATGTACATACACACAATGTGTGTGTATGTTTCTATTCGAAAGTAGATAATGTGCTTAAATACAAATAAAATGATTTATTATACCCGTTTATCGATCAAATGTGGAATCTGAAAATAATACGTTACTTTGCTGTTTTTGTATTGGGTGCCAATCTTTTACTGTGTGTACAAAGGTTTTCGTTTCATTCAAAACAAGAAATTTGAAAACAACAAATTCCAATTTACAAACAAGTATACATATTTGTGCGCAAATAAAAATTGCATTGATAACATTGTAACTGATAAAAAGTATACTAGCTCACGACTTTTACTTGGATCACTTTCATTTATTATATAGCTCTGCCAGTATCCTTCTGATTCTCTCTCTTGAAGGATCTTCTACAAAGGTTGTTTTCACAAAGGTTTTCAAAAAACGCCCAAATAAGAAATAAGAAAGTCCTGACAACCCAATTTCCTAACTCTAAACTAATATTAAGCGAACGAGCAAAAAGTCGTATACAATACAATTTTACAAAGCGTTGGGGCTGAGATGGGTGAAATATTTTTTTTGGATGCACCTGTAGGGACAGGTAAAACCTTCTTGACAAACTTATTGTTGGCAAAAGTTCGAAGTTCAAAAAAAATGGCCCTAGCTGTAGCATCTTCCGGTATAGCTGCTACCCTGCTCAATGGAGGTCGAACTGCTCATTCTACATTTAAACTTCCTTTGGATTTAGTTAATTTAAAAACACCTCATTGCTCTATTTCAAAGCAAAGTAATATGGCTGCGGTGTTTAAAGATTGTTAGTTAATTGTTTGGGATGAGTGCACAATGTCACATAAAGGTGGGCTTGAAGCCATAAATAGAACCCTGCAAGATATTAATGAGAATACTATGTTGATGGGTGGTATTACAGTCCTGCTAGCTGGAGACTATCGCCAAACCCTTCCTGTTGTGCCAAGAGGTACAAGAGCTGACGAAATAAAGGCCTGTTTAAAATCTTCATTTTTATGGCCACAGATAAAAAAACTAGCGGTCACGTAAAATATGCGAGTGCACTTAAATGGAGACAGTTCTGCAGGAATTTTTGCCGAAACTCTTTTAAAAATTGGGAATGGCGTCCATCCAACCGTTGATGGAAAAATAGTTATAACATCACGCTTAGGAAATGTAGTCAAAAACGTTCAAGACCTTACATCCAAAATATTTCCTGACATTTCCAACATATCATGTAAAAGCTTAGATTGGCTATCTGAGCGAGCCATTTTGACAACGAAAAATGAAAGAGCAACCACTATTAATAATTTATTGCTAAACTCATTTGATGGTTTAGAAGTCTCCTATAAATCGGTCGACTCTGTTCCTGATGCTGATAATGCTGTTCATTACCCTGTTGAATTTTTAAATTCCTTGAATCCAGGAATTCCTCAGCATAATCTGTCTCTTAGGATTGGAGCACCCGTAATGTTATTGCGAAATTTAAGTCCCCCAAAGTTATGCAATGGGACACGATTGCAGATAAAAGGTCTTCATAAGAATGTAATCGAAGCAACAGTATTTACGGGGTGCACGAAGGGGGAAACAGTGTTTATACCCAGGATCCCATTAATACCATCCAGTCTGCCGTTTCAGTTTAAAAGGCTACAATTCCCTCTAAAAGTTTGCTTTGCAATAACTATAAATAAATCGCAGGGGCAGAGTTTGAAGCTGGCTGGACTAGATCTTAGAGAAGATTGCTTCTCTCACGGACAATTTTATGTCGCATGCTCTAGAGTTAGCTCTGCCAGTAGCCTTATTATTCTCGCTCCTGAAGGATCTTCTAAAAATTTTGTTTACACAGAGGTTTTAAAGTAATCATATTAATTAACATTATTAAACCTAGAAAGTTTCAGTGGAATAGATCTAATTGGAGATACCACATTAAAAAAAACGAGCCAATTTCTCTACCTCAGGGGTGGTGTGGAATTGGGAAAGTCTTGACAACCGTACTCAAAACTAATTTTAAGCGAACGAAGTCGCGCCGGGTACAGCTAGTTGTACATATGTATGTACATATACGAATTTAGTTAAGTGATGCAAAATTTTCGTCAAATTAGTTGAATTTGGTTCTCCACTTTTATTACCATAATAAAACCAAAGTGATTTTATAAGTAAGACAAATAAAGCTTATGAATTTATAATACAAATGTAACACGGGCCTTCGGGTTTTTAAGTCTCTAAGTGTATGTTTGTTAAAGCCTTGTATGGATTATTTTTAAAAACACAATTTAATTAGTAATTTAGTTTTATGCACAGTACACACCAATTTACATTTAGAACAGTCACTAATTTAATGTTTTTTTTACATATAGGATGAATTTCACCCTTTTATTGAGGCACTCTTACCGTACGTCAAATCATTTTCCTACTCTTGGTTTAATTTGCAAGCCGCCAAACGAAAATATTATAAGAAACATGAAAAACGAATGTCATTGGAGGAGGAAAGACATTGTAAAGATGAACTGCAGGTATAAATTTAAACCAATTTTATAAACATTCACATTTATAACATTTTTCTTATAGAATGAAAAAACAGAGGTGAAGCAAAAGTGGGCCTCTCGTCTTCTTGGGAAACTCAGAAAAGATATTACACAAGAAAGTCGAGAGGATTTTGTGCAATCCATAATAGGAAAGCGAAAAACCATTTGTGTTCTTTCAAACCCCGATCAAAAAGGAAAAATGCGACGCATAGACTGCTTACGGCAAGCAGACAAAGTGTGGCGACTTGACTTGGTCATGGTCATACTCTTCAAAGCGATACCTTTAGAAAGCACTGATGGTGAGCGGCTAGAAAAAAATCCAGAATGCCTGCATCCTGGATTGTGTGTAAATCCGTACCATATAAATGTTTCTGTTCGAGAATTGGACTTATACTTGGCCAACTTTATAAATACTCATAATTCAGCTACCAATACGAATCCGACATTTTCAACACCTCCAGGTGTGAATTCAAGATCACCACACTTGAGCTTATATACTAGAAATACTGATCTATCAGACAGAAAAGATGAGGTCGTTGACATGAAAAATGAGGGTGTTAGACAAAATCCATATAATGGTGTAGTTTGTAATGATATTATTTTAGCAACCGGAGTATTTTCATCACAAGAACTGTGGACATTATCCAAAGGTACAGTTAGTTTTTGCATGCAATTTTTCCAATAGACTATGTAAATACTCATATACTTTTAGTTGACAATAAAAAACATAAAATTAATCAAGCACCTATATTGCGATTATAATACATGGATTTGTATTAGAAACGTATTATGTACTGAGTTCCAATACCCAAATAGATAGTCTAGGTATTTGTAACACAGTGAAGACAAAGAAGATGATCTCGGCTTTTCAGTCTTTCTTATATTTCAATACTTTATAAAATTGTTTTTAAAAAAACAGGAAAAAACAAAAATTGTTGCTTTGTCGTGTTTTTATACCCTTGCAGAAGGTATTATTATTTCAGTAAATAGTTTGCATCGCAGTGAAGGAGACATTTCCGACCCTATAAAGTATATATATTCTTGATCAGCATCACCAGGAGAGTCGATCTAGCCATGTCCGTCTGTCCGCCAGTCTGTCTGTCCGTCCGTATGTCCGTCCGTCTGTCCGTTTCTACGCAAACTAGTCCCTCAGTTTTAAAGCTATCTGCTTTCTATTGCAGGTAGTACATATATAAGTCGGAACAAGCCAGATCGGGCGACTATATTATATAGCTCAAATAGAAACAACCGGAAATAAAAACTCAAAAAAATTAGAACTCTGTTGTTTTTAATTGGTTTTTTTTTGTTCTTTGGAATTTGGTAATATTCAAATAATATGGAATTACGGTTTTAATTAGAAACGTTGGCAAAGTGCAGCGTAAAGTTGACACTTCTTCATTGTTCTTAGTAATATAGGCATAGAAATCGAAACGTAGTCGACTTGTAATAACTGCAAGAGTATATAAACTTCGGGTAGCCGAAGTTTGCTTCCTTTCTTGTTTTTTTTTACAAAGTTTTACTTCCTCCCATCAAAAGTTTTTTTAACTTGAGCACAAACTAGAAAATGATCTGATTTCCTTAAACTTTAAATATCTAGTTAAACATTTTGAGTAAGTCCTTTTTTTTTTACTAAATATTTGTTCTTGTTTGGATAAAGTGTCCTGGAGATTTTCCAATGGGTATGTTTCCCTATGCGACCACTAACTGAGCGGCTTACTATCAAAGGAACTCCAATTCTTGAAGTTTTTAAAATTGTTTTGGCCGCCCCTTTGCTTAGATTGCTTAATTTAGCTAATACTTAAATATTTTCTTATATTTTCGGTTTTTCAAAACCAAATTTCGATCAGCTACAGGAATTCGAGGAGCCATTTTCGCGGTTAAGGCATTGATTAAATACAATAAAAACAAGAGAGAACGCTATAGTCGGGTGCCCCTACTATCAGATACCCGTTACTCAGGTAAAGGGAGTGCGAGGGAGATGGAGATAGAAACTTTGATCACGCATAACTTTTTAACGAATGGTCCGATTTGAAAAATTTCTTCTACATTTCGATAGGTATTGATAAACACAGTAAAACTGCATTTTTACTTTTCCGAAATATTTAAATTTTTAAAATCGTATATAAGCGATTGTGGGCGTTAAAGGGGGCGTGGCACCTTTACAAACTTGCGCTGCGTAGGAACTCCTAGAATCTGCATGCAAAATGCCAATCTTCTAGCTTTTATAGTTTCCGAGATCTCAGCGTTCATACGGACGGACAGACAGACGGACAGACGGACATGGCTATATCGACTCGGCTAGTGACCTTGATCAAGAATATATATATTTTATAGGGTCGGAAACGCTTCCTTCTAGCTGTTACATGCACGAATACAATATACCCTTTTACTCTACGAGTAACGGGTATAACAATGCCAGAACCAGGTCTTAGGTGAAATAATACAAAAAACAACAACCAACGAAATGCATACTCTTTTGTGTCAGTGTCTATTTGGAGTTTTTGTTGAGATTTAATTATGATAAAAAATACATTTTTTGTGCTTAATACTTCAATTTAAAGCAAGCATCATTACTTTTTTCTATACGCTTGGACTGGTTAAAATTTCAAAAATAGGGGTCGTATGTAGACTTTAGTCCGCCGCTGTATATACTTTACTTCGAATAATTGCTAATTATACCCTTGCAGAGGGTATTATAATTTTGGTCAAAAGTGTGCAACGCAGTGAAGGAGACATCTCCGACCCTATAAAGTATATATATTCTTGATCAGGATCACCTCCTGAGTTGATATAGCCATGTCCGTCTGTCCGTCTGTCCGTCTGTCTGTTTCTACGCAAACTAGTCTCTCAGTTTTAAAGCTATCGGATTGAAACTTTGCACACACCCTTCTTTCCTTTGCACGCAGTATATAAGTCGGAACGGCCGGGATCGGCCGACTATATCCTATAGCTGCCATATAACTGATTGATCGGAAATGCCATAACTTTGGTGTTTGTAAAGTTAGAAAGTTGGGATTTTCTATGGGTTTTATATTTGGCCAATCAATCCGACCTACCAAATTTCATAAGGATCGGCCGACTATATCCTATAGCTGCCATATAACTGATTGATCGGAAATGCCATAACTTTGGTGTTTGTAAAGTTAGGAAGTTGGGATTTTCTATGGGTTTTATTTTGGCCCAATCAATTCGACATATTAAATTTCATAAGGATCGGCCGACTATATCCTATAGCTGCCATATAACTGATTGATCGGAAATGAAATAACTTTGGTGTTTTTAAAGTTAGGAAGGTGGGATTTTTTATGAGTATTAAAAATGCATCATATGAATAATTTTGGAGAATATAATTTGCAGAATATTCTGCAAGGGTATTTCAACTTCGGCTCCGCCCGAAGTTAGCTTTCCTTTCTTGTTTTTGACTGGAATTACTATCCTCTGTAAGGGTATAAAAATAAGTTTTGTAAAAAATATTTTATTTGCTTTGCTTTGCTGCAAAAATTCGGCTTCTGCTTTAGCTTCAATTTTTGAATTCATTGTTACACTAACAGCATATTAAATTCGCAAAATCAATGCAAATCATTGGTGTGGAGTTGGTGTCAGCAATTTAAAAGAAAAGTGTACATTCATAAAGAAGGTTTGATCGTGGCAACTACTGTACTGCCGAAAAGCGAGATTCGATTAAAAAATTATTTCTGCTGGATAGACTTATGTCGAAGTGGAAATTCTTATTGGCTGCTCTTCTACAATGGTTAGAAATGCTATTAAATAGGAGCCAGCAAATGAAACGCGTAGTCGACCCAAGTTATTGGACAAAAGGTCAGTGGATCGCTTAACCTTTCGCGTCTGCTGCATCCCTAAAAAAAACTTATAACTTAAATGCAAGTTTGGAAACAATAAGAGGATGACTCTGAGATAATAACCTCATTTCAAGAAGTTCACAAACGTTTAAAGTTAGCAAGACATCACTTGAATTGGTCAATGTATATGGGATCAAAACCAGCATGGTCGATATTTTATCTATACGTCAATATTTTTATTGATTATTTTCCATATGCCGCCGAGGAAAAGCCACTTGTTTGGACGTTCCAACAGGACAATGAAACTAGCCCAAGAGTGGTTCTCGGCCAATCAAGTTAATGTCAAGAAGTGGCCTGCACAGTCACCCGATCTTAATCCAATTAAGATATTACCAAGCAATAAGATTCAACTTTAAGAAGCTGTAAGGGTCTTGGGTCTCAATTCCTGTGATGAGATGCCAAAATTTAGTTGATTCTACGCATAAGCGCTGTGCATCCGTTATTGGAAACAAGGGATATGCAACTAAATACTAAAATAATCTATTATATACATTTAATTATTCAATCCTTCAACTTTTTTTTGCCTGTGATGAATTTTTCAAAAGATTCACTACTATTATTTTGCGCGAACAAATTTTTGTAATATTCCTCATTATACCCTTGCAGAGGGTATTATAATTTTGGTCAAAAGTGTGCAACGCAGTGAAGGAGACATCTCCGACCCTCCGTCTGTCTGTCCGTCTGTCTGTCCGTCTGTCTGTTTCTACGCGAACTAGTCTCTCAGTTTTAAAGATATCGAATTGAAACTTTGCACACACCCTTCTTTCCTTTGCACGCAGTATATAAGTCGGAACGGCCGGGATCGGCCGACTATATCCTATAGCTGCCATATAACTGATTGATCGGAAATGCCATAACTTTGTTGTTTGTAAAGTTAGAAAGTTGGGATTTTCTATGAGTTTTATATTTGGCCAATCAATAAGACCTACCAAATTTCATAAGGATCGGCCGACTATATTCTATAGCTGCCATATAACTGAACGATTGGAAATGCCATAACTTTGGTGTTTTTAAAGTTAGGAAGTTGGGATTTTTATGAGTGTTAAGAATGCATCATATAAATAATTTTGGAGAATATAATTTACAGAATATTCTGCAAGGGTATTTCAACTTCGGCTCCGCCCGAAGTTAGCTTTCCTTTCTTGTTTTTATTTTTATCTTAAGTTACAATAAAATAAACGTTTCAAAAGTTTTTTTTGTGCGGTTTCTAGAACACCCCTGCGGGCAATACTATTAACTTTACTTTTAGACTCCGTTTACACTAGGATTGAGTTTTGAGCTTATCGAGTTTCAGGCAAACACGCATATTTTTACCCTTTTAGAGGGTATTCTAATTTATTTAAAAGTTTGCAACACAGTGAAAGAGGCGTCTCCAACCCTATAAATATTTATATTCTTGATCAGCATTAATAGAATAGTTGGCCATCTCACCCGTGTGTCCGTTTCTACACAAAATAGTCTTTTAGTTTCAAAGCTATTTGGATTAAACTTTGCAAAAAGTCCTTTTTCTATTGCAGGAAGTACAATATAAACGTATATAAAATTTTCGACTTGCCTAAGTTTGCTTAATTTCTTGCTTTGCGTAGGTTTAGCACAGGCCGCCATAGATGGGAGGAGAGATAGTGTTTATTTGGTTTCTATCAATTTATTTGAGTTTTGCCTCAACTACAAGTAATAACAAACTGGAAAGAGAATACGAAAGCGAATGGATTTAAATTAATAATTATCTATAAATGAGATTATAACCACCTGAAAATGTACAAGCTCTTTCTGTCAGGCTCTGTAAGCACAAATGGTGTTTATCAAGCGTACGAAATAATATAATTATTCATTGTCGCATGTCCTCCTGCCTTTAATATCAATTTATTTCATGTTGAAACAATGAAATTTGTATACCCTTACAGGCTTATGGCCAGCGGAAGCCCCTCCTATCCCAATTAAGCACTCGAAACACCGCTGATAACTAACCCGTCCAGTCCTTGTACCAGAAAAGGATCTGCATTCGCTTACGGTTTTTAAATAATCATATATATTTGTAGTAACTATTAGAACTGATCCAGCCAAATGGCATTGAGCCCCTGCCCTGGAAATGCAGAAATCAAAACGCAATCCAACTGCGTCAGCTTCGACTTGCTTTGTTTGTAAACAAATAAGGCAAAGGAAAATCCACACTTCACTTCATTTTGCTTATTAAATGGTGTCAGTTTTATAATACCATCAGCCAATTCGCATTCCCCCACCTTTCTTTAATGCTGTATATCTGTGTATATCATTTTTTCCGCGGTTTAATGGAATGTTTCAGACTTTGAGTCAGGAATGAGTCTCCCAATAGCGGGCCGCACAACAAACTAATTGACAGATGGGTGTAACCTTTTTAGTCTTTTTCTGTTCTGGATAGTATTATATCAGGGTAAGCATGTTTTTATGTGAGAGAAGTCTAACTCTTAGTGATATATTTGCAGGTAGAATTAATTTTGAAATCTCGATTAGCGAAGGCCGTTTATCATATGTCTTAAAATGTTGGCTTGACATGACTTAATTAGTTTTATGTCCTAAATGCCCCAAAAGTGGAAAGGGTAGGCGTCAAGTTAGCATTAAGAAGCCTCGATTTCGCCGTGAGCGATAGTCTACTGCCCGGACGAAGAATCCATCTCATTTTCCGAGCTTTTTGCCGAGTGGAAACACAGGCAGCCCCAATATGTATATATGTGGCAGAGTGCTTGATGGGAACCCCGACCAGTGTAAGGCGATATGAGTTCAGCCTGTTCAGCGAAAAGTTGGCATGCAGAGACTTCGCAGGATTAACAGCACTTCGCAGTGCACTCGTCGCCAGAAACGAATACGTCTCTGTTAAAGTATTTCTGCTTCTGGGCGAAGGAAGGTCTGACTTATATATCGTGTAAAGAACAGGGCCCAGCACCGTTCGTTGAGAGACTACAGCAAGTATTGGTCGCGTTGTAGACTTTGAGCCACGAACGGTCCGGAATTGCATCCTGTAGTAGATCAATACTCAAAAGCCGTTTCAGAATAAATCGCTTAAAAATCTTAGACAAGGTCGGCAATAGACTTATCGGTCGGAAAAAGTCAGTACAGCGGATAAAATAATAGAGCTATCATGGCATTGAAGATGCTTGTTAAGAACGATATTGCTACCACTTTCCCATCCACACTGTCATGCCCATAGGCATTGTTGGGCTTTAGCCTCTTCATTTGATCTCTAATTTCTTCAGAATCTATGGCTAGAATTTCAGCAGCAGGACCAGGCGAAATGTCATGAATAATGACTCTGTTGCTGATTTTTCATCTTCTGTGACTAAGTCGAAAGGCTTGAACGTTCTTGCAATGAGTCAGCAAATCATCCTTATTCGCCCCAGTACGATCTGATCTGATTAAAGCAGGGGAAGCTTCTAAAATGGCTGCCGATCAGCATCAGGATCTATGGCACTAAGTTTACGGAGGAAAAAGTCTGACCTAGCATCGGAAAGCTCTTTTCTCAATAGCCCTTTAAAAACTGCTAAATCTTGGGAATGACGTGTACGCATCCGTCGTCGTAGTGCGGAGTCCCATTTTTTTTTTTTCAGGATTTATAAGGGTGTAAATTAGCTGAGGAACAATAGCAGAACATGCAGCAGTGGCGGTCTGAATTTTGAGGGTAAAATCATTTACGGTATCATCAATTCCCAGTGAACAACTCAGATATGTAGATTCATCGTATGGTGATTCTTAAAACGTTCAATATAAGCCCGGCGGGAGAGCAGCCTTGATTTTGCCAGTTGTGTGGAGGCAGCAGCACACAAAAGTAAATGTGATCAGAGCTAAATTTGTTTGATTCATGAACCATCAGAAAGTCGAAATTCCCTTGTATATATCAAAAATAAAAGTTTATGAAGTGCAATGTCTCACTCTGGTCAAAGATATATTTGGACGCTATACATCAGTTTTACGAAAATACTAAAGATTTTATAAGGCCACGGAATAGCGAAGATGTGTACACATTTTAATGTTGCCGCTACATTGCCAGCTAAGTTCAGAAGTCATTACTATGTATTTAAAGCCTAGCACACAGAGCGAAAAACGAGTTAACCAGTAATCACTAGCGATGTAACCAAGAAAATAAATCAGAAACTTAAAGATAAATTCTCATTATCCCCTTCATTTGGACATACGGCTCCCTGCTTTGGGGGAACTCGAGCAACAGCAACGTTTTCTTTAAACAGCGCTCACAATCACAAATCTTTCGAACAATCACTGGAACAACATGGTATGTTCAGAACGAAAACATCCACAGGGATCTTCGCATACCGCCGGTTATAGATGAAATATAAATACAACAAACTTACACTGCACCCAAATAATCTCGCACGGAACCTAATTTGGGTTTCGAACAGAACTAGCCTACATCGAAATGATCTGCCAGCCCAGCAATAATTATTTGGGCCCTTTAGTTTAATGTCAGTCCTCATGTCTGTTAGTTAAGTTTTATTTTTTAGGATTTGATCTACTTATTGTTAGTCTTATCAAAGAGAAGATCCAATAAGTAAAACATATATGTACGCAAAACAAAAATGAAAATTGTAATTTACCCATATTTTTAAATAAAATTTTTTCCGGACAATTACCAAAAATGTTATGGTTAAATTCCAATAATCATTTTTTTTGTGTACATATACATACATTTTGCTTTATTTATTGGATTATTATATTACTATTATATTTATTGTAATTTTTTTTTAAATATTGGAATTTCTTTATGGACACATTTCATAATTATTATTCGGCTTCTCCGTATGAATTGCAGTCGACACAGACAGGTGCTCACACCCTTAGAATACCCAAAAAAATGTTTTCTGAGAGAAAAATATAATTTATGGACTTAAAGACCAAATTAAAAAATATATATTCTGCAAAAGCGTATTACTATCTGTGGGTCGTGAGTGCAAGTCCTCTGCAGTATCTTAAAATATTATTCTACTATTCCGAAAGGGGCTATCAGAACAAAAAAAAACATAAAAATAAGAAAACAAGAAAGGAATCAAACTTCGGCAAGCCGAAGTTTATATACCCTTGCAGCTATTACAAAACTACTACATTTCGATTTCTACAAAACAATGAAGCTATGTCGATGTTGCGCTGCTTTTTGCCATCGATTCTATAGTTTATGATATTGCTGACCGAATTCGACAAAAGTAAAAGGGTAATTCTGATATAGTAAATAATTACTATTTCACAAATAAATAGAAAAACTGGCTGTTTAAATTTTTTTTTTTTTATCTTTTTTAATTTTTTTATGGGAGCTATATGATATAAATGTCCGAATTTAATTTAATCAAAACCGTAATTCCATAAAAATTAAAACTAACAAAGTTATACTTCTTTAGATTTATTTTTTTATTTACTGAAATTATAATACCCCTCTGCAAGGGTATAAAAAACTTCGCAAGCCAAAGTTTATATACCCTTGCATCTGTCATAGTGTCCAAAATGTTGCCCCTTACTGAGTTACAATCTTTTGACTTAAATTTTAATTTTTTTAACTATTTTCAGAACATGAAATCTGTGCAAAAAAATAATGTACCAATTTTTCTATGTCGTTTTCACATAGGTTTTATTTATGTTTGTGGGATTTGATGAAATTAGTGTATTGCCTAATACATTTTTCATCGAGTTCGCTTCCTTTTTGATAGGGTTATTACGTAGTATAGCTGTCCAAGATGTTTTATAAATACATTTGGACAATAAGCTAGTTTTACAGAGGTCAGGACCGAAAGTGGTAATTGCGGACTCTAATACAAAATTATTTTGTTTGGTACTTAACTAAAAGTATTTGAAATACTTTTTTTACATAGTCTCTGCAATCACATTTAAGGTATAAATAAATTGAAAACCTTTTTTATTAGATCTAATTTTAGATGAAGCAAACGATAATAATCTGAACTCTAATCTTATTAAGAGGGAGAATGTTGGAGCTGCCTATGAGTGCAATACATATCAAATGAACTCTGAATCTTCAATGTCTGCCGCCCAGAGTTTGGTTCAATCTGGAGCAATTGTGGCCAATCCGATTCCCCTTGGTTATAGTAGTACGTATGCATATATGCATAATATAATTAAAAGACTAACGAACTCTTCATTTAGTTGACTTCATAGATCAAAGGAGTATGCATTTATCACAAAGCCCGTTGCTGCGTACAGAAGGCACAAATGGTGATGCCCATGATGTCAATAAGATCGATCAAAACAGCTCTCCGCCAATCACAAGTACTTCATCAGACAATGGAACTAGTAGTTTTTCTTTAATCGTAAGAGCAACGGATAGCTCTAGCGGAGATACAAAAACTCCCACAGATTCAACCATTTCTCTGCACCGATATACGTCTCTTAATAATAGGCCACTACCCCAAGGTATAGTCAAGGCATGAACACGTTGATCAAATCCAATTTTAAAAGTTACTTCATTTCAGCTATTTCACAACATAATTGTTCTTCATTACATACAACTTCGACCAGTCCGATTAGTACCTTGTATTACCCTCAGCATAATAATCCGCGAACATCTCAGTCAACTTCGGTTGAAGAGCCAAACCGGGTTGCTTCCGATAAATATTTAACGGAGCCTCAAGATATCTCGGATTTCGTCACATATGTTTGTCAAGATTCTAGCCACACGACAACAATAACTGGACCAGTGGATAACCATCCATTTCAACACTCTCATACACTCCCACATTCTCACGTCTCACAAGGTCATTCGCCACATTTTCAAATCCATCAACAACTGCGAACTGCAAAATTAACGACTTCGCCGTCAACTCATTATCATAGTACAATGCTTCCGCCAATGCTGCCTCCAATGGCTCGACCTGTAGCTATAATTCGCAGTAGCAGTGATTTAACACTAGTCCAATCACCACCTCCTTCTTTGACGTTGACAAACCAATCTCCAAACTTGAACAGCAACAACTGTATTTCCAAAAATAGCTTGGAAACCGATAATATTAGACTTACAAATACCCTAGTCAATAGCCATAGTCCCGATAATACAGAAATTGTTACACAACACGAAATAACGGGAACTGCATCGCCTCAACCGCAACCTCACACGCCGGCATCAACAAGTCCCCAATCTTATCTTGATCCTGGTCGTTGTAAACTTTTATCAGCTGGATCGAACATAAGCAGAATTACTACGCAAATATATCCCCCATCAAATAACAGAGAATATTTTAATCACTTTCATTCGCAACCTTCCTCGGTAAGTATGATAAATTATTATTATTTAACTTAATAACTGTACTTGCAAAAAATGCTGATTAAGAATATATATATTGATAGAATCGGAATTGTCTCCTTTACTACGTTGCAAACTTTTAACTGAAATTATAATACCATCTGCAAGGATATAACTATTTTTACTTGGTTGGCATTTTTGAATATTTTTTAATGCAAAAACGAATAGTGTTATTAATACTGTGCTTTGTCAAACTCAATTTACGCTTTTCAGTGCTCACAGGTAATTTACAAGAAAAAGGCCAATAACAATATTGGGCAGTGTTTCAGACTATGAGTCAGGAATGAGTCTCCCAAAGGGGGCGAACAAATATGCAATTGTCAGATGGGTGTAACCATCTTCTTCTGTTCTGGATAGTATCTGGATAGTGACAGGGGAACCCTGTTTGTATGTGTTCTTGTTCTGTATTAGTGATAAATATACAGGCAGAATTAATTTTGAAATCTCGAAATATAGTGAAGTTTCGTGTGATGTCTTAAAAAATTTTGGCTTGGCATGACCATAGTTTTTTGGAGGTGTTACAGGCAGTGCCGCAAAAGTGGATTCCCAAGAAAGGGTAGGCGTCGAAATAGCCTTAAGAAGCACTGATTTCGCCGTGAGCGATAGTCCACTTACCTGAAGAAGGACAAGGTACCTAACCGTGGCAGAGTGCTTGATGGCGATATGAGTTCTGCCTGTTCAGGGAAAATCTGGCATGCTGAGACTTCTCAGGACTAACAGCACTATGCAGTACAGTCGTCGCCAGAAATTCTGGGCGAAGGAAGGTCCGACGTGTATAAAGAACAGGGCCCAGCACACTTCTTTTAGGGGCTCCAGCAAGTATTGGTCGCGTTGTAGACGTTAAGCCACGAACATCCACTGGAAAGGTACTACAAACAAGAAATGAACGAAGGAAATTAAAGTATAGACTTCATCTTTTAAAGGGCCAGATTTGATCAAAGGCTTGTTTCACATCCAAGAATATTCCTTAACAATATTTTTTCGTCTCAAAGGCTTTAAGAATATGATTGACCACACGATGCATTTATTCAGCAGGACTATGCAGACTCCTTAAACTAAACTGGTGGTCCGGAACTACTTCCTGGAGTAGATCAATACTCAAAAGCCGTTTCAGAATAATTCTCTCGAAAATCTTGGAAAATGTCGGCAATAGTCATGTGTGTCGGGAAGAGTCAGCACAGCGGGTTGAGACGCCTTCTTTGGGTGATAATTTGATTATGCGCGTTAAGAACGATATTGCTGCCATTTGTATACCCTTGCTGAGGGTATTATAATTTCAGTCAAAAATTTGCAACGCAGTGAAGGAGACACTTCCGACCTTATAAAGCTTTAAAGCTATCTGCTTGAATCTTGTCTTTCTATTGCAGGTAGTATATAAGTCGGAACGAGCCGAATTTGACATCTATATCATATAGCTCCCATAGAAAAATCAAAAAATCAAAATGAAAATTTTTTTTACTATGCTCTTTTCCTATTAAAAATATTTCTTTGAGATATTGTAATTATTTACTATATCAAAATTACGCTTTTAGTTTTGTCAAAATCAGACAACAATATCATATAGCTGCCATTGTCTGCTATTCTAATTATTACAGGCATAGAAATCGACTTATGCATACTAAATTAAAAATTTATGATTAATTCTAAAGAGCCTTATACTCTTTTTCTTTCCAAAAGCCTATCTTGTATTTTGGTTGGATTAGCTTTAAGATGTTAGCATTTATTCTTAATACTTAACCAAATAACTTAATCCTGATCATTTCCATTATGGTCAATTTAGTGGACACCTTATGAATTTTATTCCACTTGTTTTGTCGTGGTTGAATATCCGTTTTGTACTCCAATTAAGGAAAAAATATTTGTAATAGGTCATCTAATTGATGGTCTTTACTACTCTAACGCTTTTGTGAACATCCACTATTCTTGCAATTGGCCATCTGAAGGGGTAATATTTTTCATCGTATTTTCTATGTTTAAAATTCCTTTTTCCATTTTTATCTTTTCCGGAGGATGTATACATAGTCGTCTTTCCATTTCACTCCAAAGGATCTTATTCTTTTTCGATTTAGTTTCCTTGTTAGGTGATTAAATAATTTTTGTATTTTTTATTTTTGAAACAAACCTACTAATATATGATATGACTTTACCGCACTCCAACTTTTGAAAGCACCTTCAAAATAAGTACCATTGTAGAGATAGCCTATCGACGCCCTTCGATAGTTTCTCTTGTGGAGGTCGAGAAATAATTATAGTATTTTTGGTTTTGACCAGCAGGCCAAAGACATTTCATCTTTCAAGATAACTGTCCCAAACGAGCTTTTTGAAGTCATATGCGGGCAACTTTTGGCTGGATAATATGGTTGTAAAAGAGTTCGAAGCTAAAATAACTTGCCCGTGGGAGTAAAACTTCCTAGTCGAGGCCAAACCAATGTACCAACTTCGAAAAACTAACTTCTAACCTCCTTCTTTCCTATCAGAATGCAATAGCCTTTCCTTTGCATTTCATATTAATGTGTTTACAGAAACCTGGCTAAAACTGGAGATCTTTACCTCCGAAGTTTTTCCAGGTAAGTACACAATATAAAGGTATGACCGTCCCTCTAGACGGGGAGGTTGAGTCTTAAGGCAGGCTTGCACCTTGTGAGGTCAAAAAAATCAATTTTTTTTTTTGCAGTTTTGGATACATACATGTTTCAATTTTACTCTTCTAAAATTTCAAGTCGAAATCTTTTTAATTACGAAAGTTATCGGCCGTTTGGTGGACCGGTGTCAAGCGCGTTGCCATTATAGTGCAAATTTTCAAACGAGTTTTTCTCGAAACCATGTTTTCCGAGTTGGCGGAAGTCGTACAAGCCGCAAAAATTTAGCCATCGTCATGAAATTTTTTATACATGTTCCTCAGAAGTATGTGCATGGCATAGACTAGGATCTTTTGAAAATATAAAAAATTGTTTATTTAAAAAAATAATGAGTAACGAAAAAATGAGGAAAAAAACGATTTTTTTTTCAAAAGCTCATAATTTTGCATTTTTTATGTTTTTTCAATTATCCTAGTTCAAGCCATGCGAGCAAGTGTACAGATTAAGAATATATTCGTTTTTTGCGTTTCAGATTATTTCTTAAAATTCCAAAAAATCCGCCATGAGGACGAGTTTTTCGCGGACATGCCGGCATTGTTGGGTACTCCCCCTCCCCCCTTCGCTTGGATCGCACTCAAAAAAATTGTGTAGCTTCAATAAACTGTACCCTACAACTGGCTTAAATTTTATTCCCACACCTTCCATACTTTCCAAGAAATAAATTTTAGAAAAAAATCAGGTTTTGGGCGCCAACAAGGTGCAAGCCTGCCTTAATTGGAGTTGATTCAAACCTCCTCTCAGAGAAGTTATTTTTTGAGGAATTCAATACCATTGAATTTATTTGTGTAAAGTTATCGCTTCCTGGTAGCTCTATATACATAACTTGCTCATATATTCCGCCGTTGTCTGAACTTCCTGATTATTTAAATCTCCTTTCCGTTATTAAGTCTGTTGCAATTAAGCTTTCCGATAGGGATCAGTTGGTAGTTCTAAGTGATTTTAATATACCTGGAGTTACCTGGTCTACTGAGGATGAATCGAATGTCTTACTACCTATAGAACAACATAATTTTATTGACGGCCTGCTTAACATATCCTTATCTCAAGTAAACCATGTTCGAAATTCACTAGGTCGCCTACTTGATTTGAGTTTTGTATCAAATTTTGAAGGTGTGTTTTTGTTCAGAGTAGTAACCTGAAGATCCATATCACCCTACAATCGAACTAACAATTGACACGGATACAGAAAAAATTAGAAGAAAAATTAGAAAAATCAACCAAACGAATACATTGTTTTCGCAAGCAGACTATCCGTCAATCTCCAATAAATCACCTTGGTTTAGCAAAGACACACACTTAATAAATGTAAAGTCCAGACTTTTTAGGAAATATAAAAATACCTGTTCTCAATCTGTTTTTAATAAATATGTAAGTGCTCGGTCAAGATTTAATGTTCAGTGTTATAATAGTTACTTAAACCGTTGTAGTTACCTAAACCGCCTAAATCTAATTCTTATCCTTCCTCGCTGTCGTTCGAAAGCATGACGCAACCACAGATCAGGCAATATCCGATCTATATGCCCAATTTTTCAAACGACTTACTTTACTTTAGATCAATTGTCACAGCCTTGTTCTTACACCATGTCCAAATCAGACCTCATATTCTGTCCCACTTTAACAGAAAGCTCTTTTCATTTGGATCTTCTTCGTATTAAGCTTGTGTATTCGCCAGGGCCTGATGGTATTCCTGGGTGCGTGCTTAGGTATTGCGCTAAGGCCCTGTGCAAAGCTCTTCACAAGTTGTTTACCTTATCTCTAGAAACTTCCCAATTTCAAAAAATCGTTACTCCTCCTCCTTTATAGTACAATCGTTTCTCCTTGTTAACACGGATTTATTAAACGTAGATCCACTAACCTTCTAGAGCTTACTACATTTGTGATAAAGGGCTTCAATAGTAGTTTTCAAACAGACGTCATTAACAGTAACTTTAGTAAAGAATTTGACTCTGTACATCATTTACTTCTTGTTCAAAAACTTCACCTGTTATTTTCTCCAGTTGATCTCCTTATATGGATCTCAAGTTACCTGAATCTTTAGTAACCTCTGTCATATCCTCTACCTCCTCTTTGTTTTTCCATTTGTGCCGTCGTCTGTTCCAGTTTATTCAGTGGCCGTTGTTTCCTTGTCTTCTTTATGTTGCAGAACGATCTATTTGCCACGGTCGCCATGAAGAAATAGCCTATCGACGCAATTCGATAGTTTCTCCAGTGGAGGTCCAGAAATAATTAAAGTATTTTGTCTTTAGTCTTTGAAATTATAATTGAGAGCTCATAGCTGGCAACAGCGAGAGCGCGAGAGAAGTTGTGCATGCATATATCGGATGT